CTTGTTGGACACCAATCCAGTTTCTGGTCGGTAGACAGAATACTTAACTTCAGTGATCTAACGAGAACTGACCAACACTTACCAACTAACCTTCACACAATAAGAAATCATTAATAAAATTTATTTAAATTCAACTTTTTGGAAACCCTGTCAATAAAGAACATTGCAAATAATGCAAAAAAAGAAAAAAAATTGTGTTTTTCATGTAAATCGACAAAAATTTAAGATTCATTTCAAACCCCTTTTAGTTAAAAACTTTATTCTGATATGTTCTACTAATACAGTGATAACCAGAAAACTTCGAAATAGGAAGACGACTTTAAGACTCCAGTTGTGACCAGTCCAATGAGCATGGAGCACAGCAATTGTGCAATGTAAACAGATCCATATCATTTAAGTAGTTTTCTGGTTATGACTATAAATTTTATAGTTGGTATTTCAACATTTTTTTTAGATTTGAAAATTCAGATCCCCCTCACGAAGTAAAATCAATTGTAATCAATCCTGGCTGGGACAGGTAATCGATTAATCTTTCAATCAATTAATTCATCAAGGCTGTTTAAGGCATGTCATCAATTAATCATTTAATCAATTGATCAATTAATCAATTAATCCTGGCTGGAATATGTTATCAATGAATCAATTAATCCTGGCTGGAATATGTTATCAATTAATTAATCCTGGCTGGAATATGTTATCATTTAATCAAGTTATTCTGGCTGGAATATGTTATCAATTAATCAAGTTATCCTGGCTTGAATATTGTATCAATTAATCAAGTTATCCTGGCTGGAATATGTTATCAATTAATCCTGGCTAGAATATGTTATCAATTAATCCTGACTGGATTATTTTATCAAATAATAAATAAACTTATGGACAGGGTAAAATATAAAATGAACTCAGAATAAATTATAAAATGTCGTCTTTATTTGATCCCTAATATTCACAGACCACATTAAACTAATCTCTGGGGTAAAAATATTAAAAGTAAAAATTATACCATTCAATAAAAAGTCAAACTTTTTTGAGTTTGTCTGCATGTCCTAAACAATGTACATCATGCATACATACATCATACAACATTATCATAGGAATAAATTATGTACAACAAAAAATAAGAATTATTTTTTTAAAAACTAATAATGTGTATTTCAATACTAAATAGACAGATCAAAGCTAAAACAATATAAGGTACAAATTGTATAATTTAGAGATAAATATTAGAATACTTAACAATGGTTTATTTTAAAGGAAAACACGGCTTGAAATTAAATGTTAAAAAATGGTAAAAATTAAAACATTTTTTGGTATCTATATTCATAAAAGAATATTCTTTAAAGGAATGATTTATAAAAAAGGTTTATTTATACAAAGAGACCCTTATATAATTCTGTAGAATAGGTAGTTGATCCTAAATATTCTAATGAACATGAAACATATCAATTGTACTGTGTACACAGACATATTTCACTTGATAAATTGAAAAAAAAATTTGCTTTTTCAACCAATAAGATCGTTTGACAATCGTGTTCCTATTCCACAGTTGTATGGAACTCATTGTATAAGGAATTAAACTTGGGAAAATTGTTAAAATTATTTTTCAATAATAAAGCATAATGTAAATATAAAGTGCATTGTTAGTAATACTAACTAATTCGGTTTTTAAATAATAACTCTATAGCTGAATGGTTAGAAGTGTTGGTAAAACTGTAAACCGTTTTTCAAGCATTGTACAAAAATTATGGAAAATATTGAAAAAGATGATAAATTTGAATACAGTAAACTACATTTTACTTTTTCCTTTTGTATATTATATTATATTATGTTAAAATTTACATAAAATCAAAAAAAAATGTTTTAAAAAAACTTTATTTTAACGATTAAAGGGTAAGACCGTATGAAAAACGAGAAAATGTTTTTATTTTGGTAAAAAAAACGTGTGTGGGGGGGCCACTTTGATAAAATACTTTCCAAAAACCCTCATATAAATTATAGCTACCATAACCAATGAATAATACAGGAAAACTTTGGATTTCGTTTTAAAGATGAAAAATTCAAAGATGTGAATTTTCTAAAAAATTAAATTTTGATTTATTCTTTTTTAATTTAAGAGGGACTATACTGAAAAATAAATAATAAGACATTTGAAAAAAAACAGAAATTACTTAAAAACAAGTCTACGTACTACGTAGTCCTTTTTTAAACTGGAAGTCCCAGAATTTTGAACATTGGTTTAAATTCTATGTCGTCGGATATTGTGCTCATAAGCTGCATAAGCGTTCCTATACAAATAAAATCATAAAAATACAAAATAAAACATTTATTATAAAAAAATAAATCAATAAAAAACAATACACTTCAAGGGACTGTGAGCGTATTTTCAAGTGACCCTTCATGCAAAGATGGCAATGCCTGATTCACAACGGTACCCTTGAAACCTTTCTGTGATCGATAATGTGACAGATATCGTCGTTTTTCCAGATTTATTTCTGATAATTCCCATTTCTTCTCCTGCAGTGGAGAACCACGGTTAAAAACTGTTCTCAAAATTATAAACATTCATATCTAATTCATACTTGATCAGACAAAACTTTAAAGGGTACAGTTATAAATCGGACATTGCCAACGTTTGCTTGAAATTTCACTTACAGTCCCTTTAAGGGAACTTTCTAATATAGAATTTAGTTTACTAATTAATTAATTTGCTTAATGACATTTCTTGAATTTTTTAACATTAAATACTTAAGTATTTTGAAATAATAAAACATGCGAAAAGAATTTCTGTAAAAAAAGACGATTTAAAACTTGTAAAACAGGGTTACCCACAAGGGTGGAGACTTAAACGACAACTGTATCTAAATTATAAATTATACTGCTTGTTTCCTTATTTTAATAATCCACTGCAACTATTAACTTATTTTTTTTGTTTGCAAAATTATTAAATAAGTCATTTAAGGTAGAAGTTAACTTTAAACTTGGGATCGTCATATTTGAAGAGTTCAAAGTCGTATTTACAGTCTCATCCTTTGTGGGTAACCCTGTTTATGTTTATGTATTTTGTTTTTATATACAGTGATAACCAGATAACACTGGAAGAGAAAGACGACATAATAACAATACTTAAGTGTATTTGATGGTGTTACAAAGCAAATAGTTTTATTAGACACTTATAAAATGTGAAATGGGTCTTTTTACACTGCACAAATTGTGTATTTTGTCGTAACTTGATTCTTAAGTCGTCTTACTATTCCAGAGTTTTCTGGTATTCACTGTATGTATTATGTAACTATGCCGGGAACTGAATAAATTTACAATAGAATTGTAAACGTAATTTTTAATGACCTTTGATTTAAAAAATATTTTCTTTATCCAATTGTTAATAATGTTTGTTTTTATTAGTACAGCAAATCTTGTTGAAAAGCACTGGGAATCGTCTATGGCACTTCTTAATTGAAGGGTCACTTGAAATTAGGCTGACAACCCCTTTTTCATTATTATCAATAATTATTATCAATTATTATTATCAATTATTATTATCAATTATTTATTATCAATTATTATTATCAATTATTTTTATCAATTATTATTATCAATTATTATTAGCAATTATTTTTATCAATTATTATTATCAATTATTATTATAAATTGTAATTATCAATTTGTATGTGCACAAAGTATTCCTAAAAGTTGTGTAAAAAATGTATTTCATAACATCCCCCGCAGGTATTCTAAATCAGATTAAAGAGTGGCTTTATTTCTTTCCAGATTAAATAATTATGAGAAAATATATATATTTTGTAAACTTGAAATACAGAACTAGTTGAGATGACTTGTAAATTTTTGTCGGAACAAGTGGGCCTGAATTGACCAAGAAATTTTTTTTTCGATATTCAGTGAATGTATTTTAAGATACACATTTTAAATACTGTGTGCATAGTGTGTTACCAAAATCTTGTTCTGTAAACTTTATTTAGATCATAAAGCTTAGTTAGGATAGGAAAGTATAAATTTTCGGGAGTTCGGATAGAGAATTATTGATAAACGATTAGGAAAATCTGAATAAGCATGATTAGACAAAAATAGAATTTTTTCTAATACAATAATCTAACACTACAGCGTTTATATTAATATAATGAAGAAGACTTTTCTATTCTATTCAAATTTTCAATTGACAAGTAAACATCAAAAGAATCTTTCAATTGACAAGTAAACATTAAAAGAATCTGTTTATTGACAAGTAAACATTAAAAGAATCTGTTAATTGACAAGTAAACATCTAAAGAGTCTGTTAATTGACAAGTAAACATCTAAAGAATCTGTTAATTGACAAGTAAACATTAAAAGAATCTGTCCATTGACAAGTAAACATCAAAAGAATCTGTTAATTGACAAGTAAGCATTAAAAGAATCTGTTAATTGACAAGTAAACATTAAAAGAATCTGTTAATTGACAAGTAAACATTAAAAGAATCTGTTAATTGACAAGTAAACATCAAAAGAATCTGTTAATTGACAAGTAAACATTATAAGAATCTGTTAATTGACAAGTAAACATTATAAGAATCTGTTAATTGACAAGTAAACATTAAAAGAATCTGTTAATTGACAAGTAAACATTATAAGAATCTGTTAATTGACAAGTAAACAATAAAAGAATCTGTTAATTGACAAGTAAACATTAAAATAATCTGTTAATTGACAGGTAAACATCAAGAGAATTTGTTAATTGATAAGTAAGCATTACACGAATCTGTTAATTGACAAGTAAATATGTTGTTTATCTATAGATTAATTTAATTTGTATTAGAGATAAATTGCAGAAATCCAAAATCTTAAGAGATCAAGCAGATTCTGGGTAAACTCATAATTGCGCGTATCTACGCTGTAAATTTAAACCAAGTAAAAGTTGCAACATTTAAATCTAAATTTAAATTATTGAATCTATATTTCCAAGAATCTACAATTGTATTGCCATCTTTGAAACTTTCCCTGTTAATAAATTCTTACCCTTCATTTGCTACAATTTCTTTTAGTACACCTCTGTAGTCTTCATCTTCTACAATCAGATAAATAAAGGTTATAATCTATATAATAAAAACAAGACATTTGTATATATATATGTTGCCTATAGCCGGCCCAACAGCTGGACCGAATGGACTGAAACTTTTTGTGGACACTCAGGGGTGACCGGGGGGTGTTAAAGGCTGAAAAAATTCGAAATTTTTAAAAAATATTTTTATTCAAAGTTTTCTTCATATTTTTTTTTTCACAGGTACGCTGGGCCCTTCAGCTAGTATATATTATAAATCAAAATTCGTAGCTTTTGAACCGAAAACACCATTTAGTCCAATTTTTTTACTTTTATTAAGAAAACTTATTTACTTAAATTCTGAGCTTTCTTTTAAGCATAAGTTTATTGCGTAAAATGTAAGTAGATAAAAAAAAATAAAACCTTTCTTAAAAAAAGTGCAAGCTAAATTGATGCATCTTTGAGTAACCAGGGTCAAAAAACATTTATATTAACTATTTCTATTTAAGTTTTGATTTCTGACAACCTTTTTTCAAATTGCAAGTTTACAGGTAGCCAAATATAGGCTTTAAATTGACAACTTCTATGTTTGAAAGCTTGGTAGGAATTGAAATCGAACGTTGTTATCATTGTATTAATATATACGACAACGTTGTTATCATTGTATTAATATATACGACAACGTTGTTATCATTGTATTAATATATACAATAACGTTGTTATCATTGTATTAATATATACGATAACGTTATTATCATTGTATTAATATATACGATAACGTTATTATCATTGTATTAATATATACGATAACGTTATTATCATTGTAATAATATATACGACAACGTTGTTATCATTGTATTAATATATACGATAACGTTGTTATCATTGTATTAATATATACGACAACGAATAAATGTTATTTCAACAAATACATGAATTTAGAGATAAGCAAGATCGTTTTTGGCATTTTTTCGTCAATTGTGAAGTTATTTTTTTAGTTAAGTGAAATCGTTAGTTCAAATGAAAAAAAATCGTAAACTGAAAACAAAATATTTTTCAAAGTTTGTTCAAAAAAAATTTTGTTCAGTTTAAAACTAAACTATTCTATCTGAAAATTTGTTCATTCAGTAAAAAAATATTGTTCATGAACAATCAAGATAGTTCAAACAATTTTAAATCGTTTGTTTAAAAAAAATACTGTTTTCCATTTCTCTGAACAACTCAAGTCTCAAGTCCATCTTTTTTTCTGAACAACAACATCGTTCACGAGAAATGTTGTTTGTTCTCAAAAGCGATGCCAATCTTTATAGCAATATGAAAGGTTTACCTTCTGGTTTTAATTGTTTAAGGTTTATAATGAACCCGGAGGAAGCTGCAGCTGTGTGCTGTAGTATTGGTTGAAGCAACTTAAAAATAGTTTTTATTTTAATTTTCATTTATGATTTTACTTTATTTTTAATTTACACTACTCAATTTATGGAAAATATGGTATATGAAAAAAATTTTTATTTAAAAAAATATTCAATGATAATAAAATTGTGATAATTCCAATATTTTGTTAAATCTACATCAATATATTTATGGTTTATTATGCTGGGGTTCATAAAAATTTGGGATTTTTGTTTAAGAAGAAATAAATCTTTGATTTAACATTTAATATTTGTTGTGGGGTGAGGTTGTGGTGGTAAAAAAAAAGCATCTCTCAATCTGATGAAAGAGATAGACCCCTCTGCAAAATTAACTGCTGGATACCAGCCCCAGAAGCACAATGATTAATTATATTCAAATATTTAGTAACAAAAATAATTAGTTGTAAACTTGTACATATGCTATTGCTGTATCCTATATCATACGAAAAATAAAAAGAGAAGTACAGCTCCCGAAAACATTTATTGAAAATTCAGTTTATGAAATAATTTGTTTCAAATACAGTAAGATTCAGAAAACTTTGGAATAGAAAGACGACTGTTTGACTCCAATTATGATTTCCAATAGATACACAGCAATTTAGCAGTGTAAACTGTAAACAGTCCTATCTTATAGTAAACAAAGAATTGTTAATATAATCGTAAAAATATTTGCCTCTAAAATTCAAACCCTTATGTCCTTATATTTTAATACTTATCCATTGATATTTAAAACTTAACATTTTTCTCTTGATAATAAAACAAAAGTTTAAAAAATAAAACCTTTGCACATCAGTCTGTAAAAAATAAGCGACTAGAAAGGAATTGAGTCCTTGCCACAAATTCTGATTTTCTAATCCCTTTATCTTTTGAACCCACTGTCGTAAACCTTTGATATTTCAAACTTATATTATTTGATCTAACAGAAGTCATAGTTTGAAAGTCAAATGTCTACAACATTGGACTGAAAAGATATAGGAATTATAAAATCAGAGTTTGTGACAAAGACTCAATTCCTTTAATAAATAAATTGATTTTTGCCTCAAACACTCAAAGACTCAATTCCTTTAGAGAATCGATATTGAGTTAGCATAATTTGTCGTACTGAGCCAATAATGTTTACAGCTTACCTTTAGGTTCAGGTTAGTATCATATAATAGAGTCACTTTGGTCCAGCCATATCTGATCATGAGATCAACTAAAATATTAAGATCTGATCATGAGATCAACTAAAATATAAAGATCTGATCATGAGATCAACTAAAATATAAAGATCTGATCATGAGATCAACTGAAATATAAAGATCTGATCATGAGATCAACTAAAATATAAAGATATGATCATGAGATCAACTGAAATATACAGATCTGATCATGTGATCAACTAAAATATAAAGATCTGATCATGAGATCAACTAAAATATAAAGATTTGATCATAAGATCAACTGAAATATAAAGATATGATCATGAAATCAACTAAAATATAAAGATCTGATCATGTGAGTAACTGAAATATAAAGATCTGATCATGAGATCAACTAAAATATAAAGATATGATCATGAGATCAACTGAAATATAAAGATCTGATCATGAGATCAACTAAAATATAAGATCTGATCATGAGATCAACTAAAATATAAAGATCTGATCATGAAATCAACTACTGAAATATAAAGATCTGATCTTGAGATCAACTAAAATATGAAGATCTGATCATGAAATCAACTAAAATATAAAGATCTGATCATGAGATCAACTGAAATATAAAGATCGGATCAAGTGAGTAACTGAAATATAAAGATCTGATCTTGAGATCAACTAAAATATAAAGATCTGATCATGAAATCAACTAAAATATAAAGATCTGATCATAAGATCAACTAAAAATAATAATATGTGCACACCATAGAACAAGGAAAGTTTTAAAACATTATTTTTATTTTACCTAGAATTTTTCCAATACTGCGAAAATCAGGGAATAGTGAAACTGAACCATAAGTCGTCTTCTAATCAACAAAGTTAACTCATATATGTGCAGGATTACCCACAACGGATGAGGACGACTGTACGAAATTTTTATTGTCCGTTTCCTTACATTCATGATTCCCTATAACCAAATAGATTATCAAGTACAATAGGTGGCAACAGAGAAATGGACCAATTATACACGACGTCACAAGTGTCAAATATAACAAGGAAAACGGAATTTTCTCACATTAGTTTTCCAAGATTAAAAAAAGTGTAAAAACAGAAATAAAGAACACATTATATTGCACTTATATTTCACAATAAGATAAGCACTTTATTCTAAAATTATCATTAATAATTTTGTCGGACACAAAAACTGATTTGACACTTGTGACGACAGAATACAACTGTACTGAGAGTGTACAAATTCTACGTTGCCATCTATTGTTCTAGAATCAAATTGCCTGTAACTATAATTTTTTTCCCGATGCGAACTCAATAAATAAGCGATTTAAAGACCACATTCAAGATAGAAGATCTAATAAAAAGTTAAAAATATTTGAAAAGTTTCCAGTCGTCTTTACAGTCTTATTCTGTCTGGGTAACCCTGTATTTGAACTTTAAATTTTCAGAATACTTTTTTACATTTAAAAATTTGTGCAGAAATTTAGTGTAATATGATATCTCTTGAAAAATTAAAATCTGATACTATAATTTTTCTAAAAATTGAAACCTTTTAGCCACCTGCCGAGATACCCAGGATATTCTAAGTTATAATAAAAGATCAATATTAAGTTGAGTTTCCAAGTACAGTAATATTTGAAACAACCTGGAATATTATTAATTGATGGATGCCTTCAAAATTCTCTATGGCCTTTAAGCTTGCAGCATTCAATATAGGTATCCTGATTTTAGCAATATTTGTAATGCAAAAATAATCACAATAAAATCCTTCTCCTTCTCTTTCTAAAATGTAATCTGCCATTTTTTTTGCTCTCAAAAATACCAGAGATAATAAGACTTTTGCTAAAATTTCAATTTACATTTTACATTTTCAACAAATTATAAAATTGTTTTATTCTGAACGAAATCATTTATATCTCTGGCAATTATGAAAGCACAAAAATGGCAAACCACATTTTGGAAATGGCAGGAACGGGAATATACTGCAAGTATTGTTTTAAAATAAAATTGTATTGATAATTGGTTAGATTTGTAATTTAAAGTTGTTATTAAAAATAAATATCTTTGTTATTCTAAAAGTTGAAAGAAAATCAAATCTTTATTCTTTATCATTTATTTATCATTTATTCGCTTATTCTTTTCTATTTATTCATCATTTATTCTATATCAAATCCAAGATATCAAATCTTTATTCTAGAAACCTCTCAGAAGAGAAAATTAGATTTGACGTAGAAATTGTTATAATCTATCTAGTGCATCATCAAACATCACTGAAAATATTATATTCGATTCACAGGTGGCACCCTTAACCCTTATTCAGGCTGACGTCTGGTTTACCCAAAATAGTCTGGGGAGGGGGTCTCCCCTCTGTTAACCCTATTCAGGCTAGTTTACCCAAAATAGTCTGGGGGGTACACCCCTCCCCTCTATTAACCAATTTACATAAAGTTAACCATGTACAGGCTGACGGAAGAGGGGGGGGGGGGGGGGGTTGTCCTTTGGACCCACCCCCTCTATTTCCTTATTGTGATAAAAATCTATAACATTTGATAAATTTGTGAAAGCCCTTGGGCTCTACTTTAATAATCTGCAAAAAATTGTAAATTTGCAAAATATCAAATATTTATTGCAAAATCAAGTTATTAAGCAAAAAATGTGCAAAACAAATAGTGCGCGAAATATGATAAATTATACATTTTCGAAAAGCTTTTACCACGGTAAATTCAAATTTTCAAAAATCAATTTTCAGGTTGAAAAAAATGTAAACCGGACATGTCATTGTCACCCTACAAGTGGAGGTATACAGTTAATTCTTTAAACCATTAAACAGTGGGGGGAAGCAGGCTATACTGTGAGATTCAGATCCCCTAGCCTTTATGGGTTAAAAAAGTTAAAAATATTTTCGAATAATATAATAAATAATCTTTTTTTATAGTAAACTGTTGCCTTGTGAGGGTTTTGGCTGGTCCCAGGCAAACCAAGACTAATCATTTAGAGATATTTTAATATCTATTTATTTTATTGTAATGGGTATTAATTATTATAATGCATAAAAGTGTTTGTCTGGAGTTCTACTTTTGATCGAAAACAAACTGGAACGAGTAAAAATTCCAGCAAACACAAACATATATATATTTTATTAAATTTTGCTCAACTTAATAGCAGGTCGATAAAGTTGCTTTATCGCACTGTTGTAGGTTTTTAAAGTCACTTTATCGACCTACAATTCGGGAAATATTAGCTCTGATACAAATCTTTTTTTCAAAAAATAAAGTTAAAAAATGTTTGTTTTTCTTTAATTAAAAATAATCTCTAAACAGTTCCTTGTTTCGAAATACGGGATTTCACTACAATCACAAATACTTTTCACGTGCTCTAGAAAAAAAGTTTCTATATGAATGAATTAACATATTGCTATGCATATCAAATTACTTATTAGCTCACAAGTCACACAAACCCAATTATAACACGATTCACGAGACAAATACTTTATTTTTACGACAATAGATAGCAAACAATTATTATGTAGATTGCAGGAATGCGTAACGAGAATCTCTAACAGAAAACCACTATTATCCTCCTCCTCCTCCTCGTACTGTAGATCATCATCGACTGACTCTTGTTTTTGTGCAGGTTGACCTGCTCACCCAGGTCAGGAATCCCTAATTCTCCCAAAATACCAGGTTAACTGTCCGTTGGAATTCCGGTTTCATTCTGGCCCCCAAACTCGGCGTAGGTTAATAAAAGATTCAACTAACTAGAATATATCCCAACAGAAAATAGGGATAAATATTCTCTGTTCACAAAATAATCGTTTTGCTCAACTGCTACACTACAACAAGAAATCTGCCACAACAAGAAATCTGCTACAACAAGAAATCGTATTGTTACAACAACAAATTATTTCCTTGATAACTATCCGGTGTTTTTGTTTAATGCGGTCTAAGCCTGCTTCCAAATCATTGTGGGAAAAATAAAACCTGCTTTATTTTGTTTAAATAATAATTACCTATCTTAAAGGGACTCTAAAGGAAAAATGAAAGGGGGGATAGGATTAAACCTAAGAATCTTTGGCGTTGAATGATATATATATGACTTCTAACTTATGTTCCTGTCTCGAGAAATTGATATACAACTGTGTCAAATTTATGCAAAAATTCATATAAATGCAATAATGTATAAAAGTTGTAGTGTGGAAGACGATGCCTGGCCGCGTTAAACTAGTTCCACAAGATTCAACAGAATGAGATAGAACGGATACGGGGCATTAGTACTGATATGATCTCTACAGTCTACACGTGCGATATCGATATTGACTCTAGTTCTGAACCCTCTAGTAATAAGTTATAAGAAATATATATACTGGAAGTTATTGATGCGTTTTATTAGAGTCTGACTCACGTCCTCTATAGTAGTATTAAACAGATCAAATTCAACAAACACGAAACCAATCTAAAAACGATTTCATCTCAAGTTTGCCTTTTGAATAGATATATTATTATATATAGTCCGTATAGTCCGTATTACATCACCAGAACTTCAGCCAATGACAGTATCATTGTCGGAAATCATGTGACCAGTATACTGCACTGCCATTGGCTGAAGTTCTGATGACATAATACGGGCTATACGGACTATATGTAATAATATTATCAATTATATCTATTAAAAATGCAAAATAAAAATTAAACAATTATAATATAAGCAAAACTGAGATTCTCAGGTTTCTATAAGAAATAGTCTTTTCAGATTGATTTTCGTATTTGCTGAATATGAACTTTTATACAAAATTGTGTAAACATAAATTTGCGTATAAATTTGACATAGTTTTATAGTTATATTATGACATAGTTCAAAACATTCTCAGGTTTCAGCCTATACCCTCTTTCATTTTCCCTTTACAGTCCCTTTAAGAGACCAACTTTTCCAAATATTAAAACGTTTAAGCCGAAACTTATGTAAAAAAGGCTTGTTTTAAGTCCAGTGTATAAAGTTTAATGTTTCTTTGTCAATTGTGAATTTCAAACATATTTTTGAATTGATATTAATTAGTAAATACACTGTGGTAATTCTTGTAAACAGATCAGCTATTACCCTCAAAAGGAATTGAGTCTTTGCCAAAAATTCAAATTTTCTAATCCCTATATCTTTTTTACCTGATGGAAACAACTTTATATTTCAAACCTATATTATTTCATCTAACAGAATTCATAGTTTTAAATATATAAGGTCCAAAACATTGGGCTGCAAAGATAAATATATTTTCAAATTAGAGTTCGTGGCAAATACTCTATTCCTTTTAGTCCATCTAATTATGTAAAAAAAGCTTTGTTAAATTTTAAATCAGAATTAATCATGTTTGGATAATTTCTATATGAAAAACTTTTAAATTCAAAACTTGTAACCATTTATCCCCCCATTTATCTCTGATTTGTTTTATTTCAAAAGAATTCTAAAATTTAAAGAAAAAAGAGCTTTAATGGAAATTCCTTTCAACGTTAGAAAATTCTAGATAATTGATATTCTTGGAAAATATTTAGAAATTTCTATGAGAAAAAAACAACCTACGCAGCACGTTTTGTGTCTCTTAAGAAAAGTATTATTGTTGATTTTTTTTCAGAATAAAAACTTTTTAAATTGGACAAATTAAAACCACAGTCCTGTTTTAAGGGACTGTAAGTGTAATTTCAAGTGACCCTTCCTTAAAAGATGGGCTGAGTCACACCGGTACCCTCAAAAACTGTGTGTAATGGAGTATCCATTAGAGCTTAATGTTTTTGTTTTGAAAACTGTTTATTTAGATTTGTGGTTTCTCTCCAGAAGTGATATGCGCAGCGCATTTCTTGATTACAAAAAAAAACTGGAAAAAATTAAACACTTTTCGAGACCGAAAGCTTTCACATTTTTGAACAGATTGATGTTTTAAGCAAAGATGGTTGATCTAGAAAGATGCTGCATTAGAAATTTATCTGACTGTTGTATACGCACTGTACATCTGTATTTGACGTCATTGGTTATTTTGGTTACTTGAGCGTCTAATTAATATTAAAGGACCGTTCACTTATTTGGGTAATGAAATGGTAAACTGAATAGCTAATTAGCTATTGATTGGTATTGGTCTTACTTTTCAAAGATATCTATGGCGGGGAGAAAAAAGCCGATTATCGCACCGAAGTTCAGTTCAAAGGTCCGTATAATGCCTTTGCCTAGACACTATTTGATCTTTTTGTCAATGCCATGGATTAAAAAAAAATTCAAATATAAAATTAAACTGTTCTATCTAATAGTAAATTGTAAATTTCTTAATTTAAAAAAAAATTAACTTTCTATTCCTTGTTTAGCACATTGAATATTTTGTATTGCTTCTGAAAAAAATGTGAATTGAACAATGCAAGAAAGTTTAAAGTTTTAAATATTATTTAATTGGTTTAAGGGTAGTTAAAATAGTTTAGACAATTGATTGAGTGGCGTAGGTTAGGAAGTGTTGATCAAAGGGAGGACAGTATAAACCCTAAAAATTACAAAATTTATTCAGATGGTTTAAAAACTTAGTGTATATTTGACAAGTGCACCCTCCCCAAATACCCCAAACACCCCCAACCCCCCCAACCCCCAACCATATGTTGTTGATTCTGAATATGCCCCTGGGCCTGATCTATATTTTGGAGGGCCGCAGGGAGTGGTTTTTATGAGACTTTTCAAATATCAAAAGTTTACATATTTTTTTAAACAATGTTTAAAACATATTGGCATTGAAATATGATAATTTTAAATTTTCATGGGCTGTTGTTTTTGAAAAACGTTGAATATAGTGTTTATGGCAAGGTACTGTACCTTTAGGGTGGAATTTTGTAAATGTAAATCAGCTTTTTTCTGGCCAAAAAGTAAGACTAATACCAATTAACACCTAAAAGGCAGTTTAGTTCTCCATTAAACTACCCAAATAAATTAACAGTTCCTTTTAAACTGCAGACAATTATGAATTCTTTGTGCCAAAAGCGAACAAAAATTGAAAATATTAACTTGTATTTCAAAAGTTATTCAATCATTTGTTGGATATAAGAATTTTTTGTTGAATTTGCGAATAAGTTACGCATCTCTTTAGTATGAATATAATTGCTAACAATTGTGAATGAAAATTTTCAGATTTTGTCAATATTTTTTTCCAAAGTGCTATGAAGTGAGATTTTAGGCCCTGAAAGAGGCAGAACAGCAGATAAATCCAATATAAAACGGTAACATTTAAGGTAAATGTTGTCTTTTATTTTATCATAGGCAATGAAATACTATCGCATAAATTAATGCATTTCTAACCCATTCATTTATAATTTGATTAGTGGGGATTTGTTTAAAAAAGTATCAATCGTTAAACCATGTACCATGGATAACTGATTATTAAATTTTTAGCCATTACAAGAAAGTCCATTACTAAAATTGATCATACAATAAAACATAATGAACATATATATCAGAATCTATATATAAATTTGGCTTGTCTGTTTGTTTGTTTGTTTGTTTGTTTGTATCCAATAAACGTCAAAACGGCTGAACCGATCGGGCCCAAATTTTTTGTGGGACATCTAGGGACTCCAGGGAAGGTTTATGAATCATCAAAATTTCAAATATTTGTCTCCATCAAAATTCGATCGTCATTAAATTTTTAAAAATTTTGAAAATCCGCGAAATTTTTTGTGAAAATCCGCGAATTATTTTTGTTTTGTTTTACGATTCACAAAGAGAACATGTTCACAATTAATTTAGGAGATGGGCGCGAAGCGCCCTCTAAGGCTAGAAAGAAGGGCGCGAAGCGCCTTGAATTTCTAGTAGATTATGTTTTATTATCCATATTAACCTGAAAACCTAAAAATATTAAAGTCTCTATATATTATATCAAAATAATGGCTGATACTACATTAAGCATAATGATTTAAAATATCCCTTATTATCTTTGAACTAGCTGTTACCCCTATCTCTGCTGGGGTACTTGAAAACCAGGATATGCTGGGGGGGGGGAGGGGTAAATTTGACCCCCCTCCCTCTAAATCCCATGTTTGATGTCCAAATATGACAAATGATACATCATTGGAAAGCTCTTGTGCTCTACTTTTAGAATCTGCAAAGAAATTTGCCAATTTGCAAAAATTTAATTTTTATTGCAAAATCTAATCATATAGAAAAAAAGTTTGCAAAAAGAAATTTGTCCAAGAAATGAAAAATTATAAATTTTTGAAATGCCCTTGACAAAAAAAACTAAAAAATGTGCAAATTTCCTTAGACAGGTTGTTAGCATTTCCATTTTAACAAAGAATCAAACACCTGTGTATTGGCAACTATAAAGTTTATGGAGGATATACAAGAGGAAGAATCAATGCTTG